TAATATATGCTAATACAAAGTAAAGATCAAGGCAAAGAGTAAGAATGGTTTAGGGTACCATACTGAAAGAACATAGATTTGAGGAAAGCAAGGGAAGAGAGGCTTTGAGAAGTTTTGTTTAAATTGGCATTTTGTAAGAAAAGTTAAGTGGATAGAATTATTCCATTCACTGAATATCCAGGGGGAATTTGATTGAAATGATGGATTTACATGACTTCTTCTAGGGCCTCATGGATATGGGTCTTGATTAGAAACCCAAAGTGACTAATCTGTGGTTCTGAACACTCATTTTTCACATGAAGACCTGAGCCACTACTGTGGTTTTAGAAATTTCACTTGTTTGAATATTGATGACATAGAAAAATAAATCATCTAGGATCTTATGGAGAATAAGTATTCATATTATGTGGCCTGTTTCTTGTATGTGCGTGTGTGTGTGTGTGTGTGTGTGTGTGTGTATGTATACTAAAATAAAACTTTTTGTTTGTACCTCCAAAATGTGTCTGTACAGAATTCTAGAACCCCATTTTGCTTAGCCTTGTTGGATATTGGTTACTGCAGAAGGTAAAAATGGGACTCTGGGATCATAAATTATCTGGGAGTTCAAAGATCTTTAGAAGTCCTCTTAGGCTAGAGATGTGGCTCAACTGGTAGAGTATCTGCCTAGCAAGCATGAAGCCCTGAGTTCACACCCCAGTCACCTTAAATTATCTGTCTAGCCCAGGGCTTTTTCTGCTTTTTTTAAACTTCTTAAAGCCTCATGGGACAAGGTATTCCTAAGAAAGAATATTTTGTCCAAAGGCAATGAGGAGTGAAACACCAAAGGTTATTTTTGAACCTTAATGATACATCAGTTATGAAAAGATGGCAGTTAGCTGGTCATGGTGGTACATGCCTGTATTCCCAATCACTGGGGAGGCTGAGTCAGGAAGTTTGCAAATTTGGGGCTAGCCTGGGCTACATAGTGAGATCCAGTATCAAAGCAACAAAAAGATGATGGAGTGAGCTAAGGTGGGAAGACCGACAGTACAAATATGAATGAATATGAATACACACAACAGAAAGCTATGGCAATCTTTTTATTCAAAGTTTTATATAGAACTCTAATGCATAAAATACATAATAGTGGAGTTATTTGATTCAAATCATCTACCATAGTGGCCCCTTAAGTTCCTGTACAAAATACTAAGACTATGGAACATGATTTTAAAACCTCCAGGGTCTGGCAAAATTTTTTTCTGTAAATGACCAGATAGTAAAAAGTTTTAATTTTGTGGGTCATGCAGTTTCTGTTGTAACTGCTGTAGCTGTACTCTGCCATTATGGCTAGAAGGCAGCTATCAACACTATGTAAATCAATGGGCATGGCTTCATTTGGCCTGCCACTGGCCATTTTGGTTTACTGACTTCCGAAACACCCCCTTTTTTTTGTAACAAATGGAGTCTCTGAGGCTGAGAACAGGGAAGCAACTTTCCATTAATGATAGACCTAGGACTAGAATCTAAATCTCTCCATTGTCACTTAACCTTTCATTGTTCTGTCAAATAGAAATTTAAAAAACATTATTGTTATGCTGGGTTAGGGGTACATTGTGACATTTAAACAAGTTCTTACAATGTGCCAAATATATCATAATTGAATTCATCCCCTCCATAATTCTCCTTTATCTCCCCCCATTCCTAGAACAGTTTCAACAAGCAAAGTTTTGGGGGGTGTGGTGTGGGGTGTGTGTGTGTGTGTGTGTGTGTGTGTGTGTGTCTCTTTCTGGGGGAGAATGGCTATATTTTAATTAAACAGTGATGTGATCATTCAAGTTACTTAGAGAATGTGAGATACATTAATGCTATCTGGAATAAATGTTCAAAGTTAAGAGGAGTGGAACATGGCTGACTGGGTGTTAACTATTTCTCTAAAGAAGAGAAAAATAACTCTGAGTACTTCTAGTACCAGATACTCTACTAAGTACTTCATGCGTTACCTCACCAATCCTTATAGAGGTGTATCACATTATGATCATGTCCATGTTACTGATGAGTGAGTAAATGCAACTTCAGGTGGAAAATGGAAAAGGAGACTCAGAGAAACTTCCCTCAAGTTGCATACCAAGTGAGTGGGAGAGCCAGGATTTGGACTTGGGCAGTCTGAGGCCAGAACTCAAACTATATGGCTTCTCTTTTCACCTAAAAAAGAACCGATGACATTTCTGATGGCATTGAAAGGGTAAAGTTGAGGACCCAGCTGCTATAATTACTAATCTAATATTTGAGGAACTTAGCACTAGAGATAAATTTATAGAGGAGAGGCAAAGAGGAAAAGGGGATTCATCATGAGGAAAGTAAAACTTAAGCATGTAAAATGCAGAGTTACACCATATAGATCTTTGTCCCTTTCTATATGTAGATGAGACCTATAAAACAGAGAGTGTATAACTTAGAAGATGGCTGACTTTGTTAGTTGCATCTATAACATCTTGCACTGGTACACCCAAGAGTTATTTTCTATCCTAGCTTATTTAGAGATCAAACATTTGCTAGGTGATCATGGTGTTTATGGGTGAGCAGTAGTCTTTCTTCTATAGAAGGTATGAGAACTATGTTTGTTACCTTGAGAAAACTATCCCAGTAACAAACCATAATGGGATGTTTCTTGGCCTGCTTTGTGGAATTTATCTGACTTGCATGCCTATCTTCAGCCAATTCAGAGAACTCCCTGGGCCTTTATTGCTTTTCCCTTCCAGGAGGTTGGGTGAGTGACTTCTCTTGCTGGGGGTACTTTTGCCTAGGATATTTAGGTTTTATTTTTTCAAGAAAAGCAGGGCATGGAGAGATCTACATGGCCCTGAACTGCTTATTTTTCAGTTTTCTGAGCTTACATTGCAGTGTTTTACCATCAAGGCAAGAAGTGCATGCTACCTAAGTTTAATCACCTTTAAGTGTAACTACTGTAAGCCTTCGTAATTATAGTTAACATTCTCTGCATTAACATTGCACTGCTCCCTTAGGGTTTTCAGAGTGACTCACAAATAAATGCATTCAACTTTAAATAGCTCCTGAGGATTATAGAACCCCCAAAAGCGAAGGATAGAGCATGTTTCCTGCTCTTCAGTTATTCAAAGCTTAGTAAATAGGAAGGCAGAGGCGTCCATGACCTGAGAGTTTTGGTTGCCCTAAGCCAGTGTTATTACAAATAGTCACATGCCTCAGGAAAGAAAGGTTTAAACTTATTGAGAGAAAGAATATGATGATTTTTGTTTTATTTACTAGGAAAATATCCAATGGATAAACACATCTAAGCTTAGAACTTGTCTCAGCTGGTTTACAAAGATAGATTGAACAAGGCTTGGAATGAAAGGAAATGTTAAGTATAAAAAAATCAAAAAGTTTTTGTTTCTCAATCACTTGAGCAAAGCATACCAAAAGTCTGATAGGAAAATATAAGGTAAGTTTCTTTCCACCGAGAGAAAGTTCATCAAATTCTAATTTGGGGGAAAAGGCAGTTCTAAGAATAGAAGTATTTCCCCACCATTACATGCCAGTGGTGTTGGACTGGAAATTCTAGAGTAGTGATTTACCATGAATGAATTAACCTGGTTTCTGCAACAGGAGAGTCAGATTGATCCTGTTGTTTTGGCCCCAGCTAAATGGCTGTGGGCAATGCTGATAGGGTGAGTAACTTCTTACATTGCAATTGTCTGTCTTGCTCAAGGTCTTGTGAATTTGTTGAAAAGTCAAAATTGAATTCTTGAGTCTGTTTTTAAACAGGTTATCAATAACATTTTTAATCTTAATCTTAACCATGAAGGTCCTTAACCATAGACTTCCATGAGAGCAATAATGACAGATGGGCCCACCTGCAAGAATTTTTCCTTTACAAAGAGTCTACTGGTTGATTTATTAGCATTGAAGTGTACCCCACAAGGACTGTGAGAAATAGAATCTGTCCTTTAGCTAGCAAGATTGTTAAGGTTGCCCTTTCCTCTATCTTCTTGGGTATCCAGAATATGTATATCTTCTTTAAGGCTCTCTGTGAGCCTCCTCATTCCTTCACTGCTATGGAGCCAGCATTTGTCTTATAAGTTACAAGGGTACAAAGAACTCACATTCTTATTCCCAATTGTTTTGACTTTTGGGATATGACTTACAGCCTTGCAAAGAGGAAGAATCATGTTTGATTCACTTGGTCTTAGATTTGGTTGCTTATTTTGAGTCTTTAGGGATCTTTGAAGGTCCCAAGATAGAAGTTGAGAGATAACACATCAACTCTGGCTCATGAGATAGAAATCATAAGTAATCTGTGGCCTTTTCATAAAGAACAAGTAAAGCAGTGCTGGTCAATGAGGAGCCTAAAAACATTTGAATCATTGCATGGCAGCTTTACTGTTAAAAAGCAGAAGAAACTTTTCAGCAGAACGGTGTTGGATTACATAGTGAATTACCAGGGACAAACTTGAAAAAGATTGGTCTGGCCTCCTTGTACCTTCAGCTGTTGCCTACCTTTTTTCTCCCATCTGGAAAGGAGACCACATATAAAATGAAGTGGGCTTCCTTTTCATACCAACTTAAATCTTTGTCCCTAGAGAGCCACCCCACCCCACCCCCGTTCTCCCAGTTTTTGAACTGTACTGTAACAGCTAAAATGAGACATACCTGTCCCCAGTATATTTCAATTTAGAGTGAAGAATAGCAGAGGCAAGGATATTCATAGATAAAAACCTGAAAAACTTGCCTTTAAAGCAATGTTCTAAGGGGAGTATATTTTGGGAATATGTAAAGATAGGAAAGGAGGAAGAGATTCAAGAGGGGCTCCTAATTTCCTATCTGTTCTCACATTGTTTGTATGAAAAATAAAAGGCAATCAGCTGCTCATCACATCTTTTGTCCTCAGAGTTGGACTCTGAGACAGAAAGAAATCTAAACATAAGACTGGATTTGGGGGCTGCATAGATGACTCTGTCGTTTCCTTTCCTTCCCCTTGCAAATCTCTCGATGTGGATTTTCAGCTGAAAAAGAAGCAAGTGTATGTAGATAAGGTGGAGAAGATGCAGCAGGCCCTTGTGCAGCTCCAGGCAGCATGTGAGAAACGTGAGCAGCTGGAGCACCGACTCCGGACACGACTGGAGAGGGAACTGGAATCCCTCCGACTCCAGCAGGTATGGAGAGCTTAAGGAAAGAAAGAAAAATAAAAGAATGAGAGAAAAGAGATTATTCCTGGTTGCTTTTTTTTTTAAGTTGCCATTTTGCAGGAACACAACAAATGCATACTTACTTTATAATTTTGTCCCAGCCTGATCCTACACAAGGCTGCTTCTACACTGTAAATATGAAGGGTACTTACTTCCTTAGCTTCCTTTCCCAGAAAAATCCTTAACACATTTAGAATTTTGGACCTTTTATTTTTACATAAACCAGACAATAGACCCTATAAGAGATGAAGCTGCTATACAAATAGACTCTTAGACATCTTAGAATTGGGAAGTAGTCTTTAAGAAGTCTTCTGGCCATATCATTCCTTGGGTTTAGTGGAGATGAAATCAAGACCCAGAAAAGGTTACATAATCCCCTAAAATGACAGAAATTAGGGGGAAGTTAGGAATAAAGTCCTAGATTTTTAAAATTCCCATTTCCTTGTGTACCATGCTGGCAGGCAAGCATGCTAGATTTTACTCTATTGATCTACTTTCTGGGCAGCATGACACTGTCATATAGCAGGTGTTTTCCTTATTAAAGGAGTCTCACATTCAAACCCTAGTCCTGTAGCTTTAGGAAAATATCTGAATTCCCTTTCTTTCTGAATCAGTATTTAAACTAGGCTTCAAAATGTAGCCCACTGGTAGAGCACTTGCTCAGCATGCACAGGCTTTGGGTTCCATCCCCAGCACTGCCAAAAAAAAAATCTAAAGTAGTTTGGAGAGTAAGCCTGTCAAGTGGAACTCAGACACCATAGTTGTTCTCATAACCTTAGGAGTCTTGGTATCTCCCTTAACAGCGCCAGGGCAACTCTCAGCCCACCAATGTTTCAGAATACAATGCTGCTGCACTGATGGAGCTCCTGCGGGAGAAGGAGGAGAGGATTCTGGCCCTGGAAGCTGATATGACAAAGTGGGAGCAGAAGTACTTGGAGGAGAACGTGATGAGACATTTTGCTCTGGATGCTGCTGCAACTGTAGCTGCCCAGAGGTAAGTAGTTGGCGGGATGACCACTATTTGAAGAGTATGAGTGGGAAGACCAGATAGATAACTGATTCATAGGTTTCTCAGTGTTTGGTTTCTCTTACTACTCCATTTTTCTCCAATTTCTATTCCTATGTATTTTCTTTCATCTGGCTGTGGGGACCGAGGGCCAAGGATTTGAAAACAAAAGTTCCCTTATGAACTACATTAGAATCATAGTTGAGCTTGCATCAGGAGCTGGAACACTGTAGATTGGACCAACTGAATATTTGCACACCTCCTTCAACCAGAGCCATAAATCCTTTTAGCCATGTGTGCACATTGTTTAGCCCCAGGACTGGAGTGAAAGCCCCTCCAGAGAAATGCCACTCAGAAAGTAAATGTCACTCAAGAGTGGCTGCTGCCATTTGATAGCTCTGGCTCATCCTGGGCATGTCAAAGGCTGGGCTGAACATGAATCCATTGCTGCCCTTTAAAAAAGTCTATATTTTAAGACCACATTCTCTGTATTCCTGAGTTCATCTCATGTAAGCAGTCCCATTCCATCTGGTACAGGAGAGAAAGTGGTGGGAGGGGTTCTATTTTTGGTTTATTATTTGTCTCCCTTTATATATTATAAAATTAATTATTAACTCTTAGAGGAAACAATTGTTCTTATGTAGTTTATAGTGTTGCTGTTTATAACCATTAGCTAGGAAGGGAGGGAGGGAGGGAAGAAAGAAGGAAGGGAGGAAGGAAGAAGAGGGAGGGAGGGAGGGGGAAGGAAGGAAGGAAGGCAGACAAAAAATTAAGTTCAAATCAGGTGATAATGGTCAGAGACTCAGTCTGGAGTTGGGTATCAAAGGTGGACTATGGCATATTGTACCCAGACAGGTTTCTCTCCAGGAAGTAATTAAAAGCAGCAGTGTTGTTTTTATCAATCTCCCAAATGTGATAAGCCAACAGAGCCTAGAAGCACTCACCAGACTTTGGGCTAGGATATGCGTGTATGTAGGGAGCTATAGGTAAATTTATTTTTGAGTCCTTATGCTGAATCAGAAGAGGGAGATCAATGTTTAAGAACTGAACTGGTGCTTTCTTAACCCAATCCTGATTCTCCAGAACATCTTCCATCTCGCTAATAATGTGATTAGCATACCCTAGATATCCCTTATACCTTTAATAGATTGAAGCTGCCTGTGACTTGATTTTTGACTGAAGCTTCCCTGAATTTGTTTTCTGAGGAGGGCCTACTCAGAACATGGCACTGTGGTAGTAGAGTACAAAGAAGCCCCAACCGTGCCAGAAGATGGACACAAGATTCAGAGGCAGATTTGAAGCAGAATTTAACCTGTGAGGTCCCATGGAAACACTTGTGCCCAGCACTTGTTCAGAAGATATTAATGAAAACCTAACACTGAATGCATTGTTATTATTGGGTGCTAGAGAGATGCTGGGTAATTTTGTCATCTTTGGGCAGATGTTTAGAATGATATAGCTTATAAGGTTGTACAGTATGAAAATGTGTTAGAAAGCAGGGGTTCGTGGTACTGACTCCAAACATGGAGTCCAGGTGCTTCCTTCCTACCTCCCTCCCTTCCTATCTTCCTCTCTCCCTTCTTTTCTTCCTTCCTTCCCTCCCTCCCTCTCTCCTCCTCCTTTCCCTCCCTCCCTTCCTTCCTCTCTTGAGAGCAATATCAGGAGAACTTCAATTTAAATTGCACTCCTTTAAATTACCAGATAAACAGTTTTCATGTAACCACTATTTTTTAGCAAAATAGCCATTCTTTTTATTTAATATGAAAAAACACAGCCCATTCCCATCTACTAGGAGCACCCTCTACCACCTACCACTAGCAAACATTCCAGAGCTGGACAATGTACCTTTTTGCCCGATACTAATCTAGCTCACAGGAGAGATAGAGAGGTAGAGAGAATGATTCAAATTCCTGTAAAATGAGAGATTTGGACTAGGTGATTTCTCTAGGCTCTTCTATTTCTAGGATTATACTGTATTCACAAAGATATTTCCTCTTATGCTTTGCCATGGAGATTGGTTTCCTTTTCCTCTTTTCTTTCTTCACAAGAAAGCAAATTTAGGAGTAACATTCAAAAAACTTTATTTCAGACTCTGTGGGCTCTTCTGCCTCTTTCATGAAGATTTCTCTCCATTCCTTTTCTATTTTTTCTAGTCTTCCTACTGTCATCCATAAATACAGGTATTAAGATTCTGTCCTCCGTGTTAAAAGCTCTATATTTTCTTTACTTTCAAAACAATATTGAAGTTCCTAGAACATCGACTGCATGTGGAAAGTGCTCAAAATTTACTTGAGAAGAAGGGCAGAAGAAAAGGAAATAAGGAAAGAAAAAGAAAGAAGGGAAAGAGATATTCTAATATTAACTTAAAGCCCTAACTTTAGAGACACATTTTAATAGCCTGTTTGGTATCTGTGTATTCTGCTACTATCACAAACTTAATATTCCAGACCTCACAGGTAGCTCTCAGGCAAATGACAAGTTTCACAATTAGGGCATCTTCTTGAGAGACATAAATGGTAGTTATAAAAGATAAAATAGAAAGGCAGAAGAGCCCATGGGTTCCAACAGACAGTCAGGCAAAGCAGAATAAATCAATGCTTTTTGGCTTATTTAAATTTAATATTTGAGCCAGTTGTAGTGGCTTCCACTTGTAATCCTAGCACTCAGAAGGTGGGGGCAGGAGGATCATGAGTTTGAGGCCAACCTAAGTTACATAGTGAGATCCTGATTCAAACAAAAAATAAAAACAAAATAAAATATTTAAAATATTTTTGCTACTCAAAGGGATACTGTGGAATTTATTTTATTTATCAAAAATGTGGTAGTGCTTATTATACCCGGTGTTCTTTTGAGCACTTACTACTTACCCTCATAGTATTTGAGGTAAGTACTACCATTCATTCTGCAAAGGAGGAAACTGAGGAACAAAGGAGTTAAATAAGTCCCACGATGACACACACCTACTAAAGAGCATGAAAATTAGGATTTAAATCTATATTTTCTCACCTTAACTGCTGTACTCTGCTGCCTCCCTGGATATGGTGGCTCAAAGGTGAAACGGGGATCATTAGCTGTTAGGTGAGCTACTTGAGGTTTATTGGAAATATTATACATAATCACAATAAAAACTACCTACGTTAAAGCTCCGTGTTGTTGTGTCTCTAGGGAGGCCTTTCTAGTTGCTTAATGTACATGAAGGGAAATCACTACCAAAGTGGAGTCCCTATTTATTCCCAGAAGACCCAATTTGGCCATGTAGATTTTGAGTTTCAGCTCACTAACAGTGAATTTATTTCTGAGGAGCAGCAAAAGGACAACAAGATAACACACCCAATCAACCATGTAATTTATTGCTTTGTATTTAGTGAAACTGGTTGTTATCTTTCTCTAAACATATGACTGTCTTCAAGACACTTTTACTCCAATGTTCCTAAAATCAAAAGCCATCACAAAGATTTCCAGAAATCTTCTCTTGGTTTCCTACGATAGTGAGCAGTATTCCATCATTCAAATTAGAAATAACAAAATTCTCATTCATTCTTCCCTCTCTTTAATACCACATTGAAATAGCCTCCAAGTTCTATTAATTGTACCTCCTATGGTCTGTTTTCATCTCCCTTGCCACTTCACTGGTTCATGTTTTCATTATCTCTTGCTGAGATTATTACAATCACTTCCCTGACTGGTCTCATTCCAGTGTCTCCTCTAATCCCTTCATCATATTTCAGCAAGAGATAATTTTATCTTCCTAAAGCCTGGGACAGGTTATTTCATTCCCCTCAAAAAGCTCTAGTAATTTTCAATGCCTATTAGAATAAAGTGCAAACTCTTTTCTGCAGTGGTTAATTATTTACTTTTTGTTATCCCTTGCAAGCTTCCTATAGCCAGGGATTATTCCATTTTTCCCTGTCTCCAGTCTCCTAGTGACTTCAAACACAGTGCTCTGCTTATTGTAGAATTCATGTAGTATGGAAACAAAAGGCTGCTGCCTATAGGAAAAGATGAACTTGGAGTTTAAATGGCCACTAGGTGTTTTAATTAGGTGGTTATGGGTGACATTTTCAATAGTAATTTGAGCATTGTGATTGGGATAATGTCATTAGAGAAAGAAGGAAAGAGAAGATGTCGGGGGGCGGTGCTGATAAAAACTGTTTAATTAAGAATTTGAGATGGGGGATATCAAATTGAGGAGTATGTGGTTTAGGGTTTGCAGGCTGTGTTTTCAGACTGCAGCCAGCATCTCTCTCCTGATGTTCTTCAGGATAGTTTTAGAGAATTGGAAATTGTTCTTTAAACACTGTGCTTGCTTGCTTTTCCCAAATCCATTGGCTTCATAGACCTAGTCTTCCAGTGGGAAGATTGATGCTCAGAGCTGTCCTGGCAGCTCTGTATGAATTCACTAAGTGCCCCACATTTTCAAGCTCCATTCCTGAGGAGTTCACAGTATCCATATCAATTAGCTGCCAAGGCCCTGTGTACCAAAAATGGTCTTTCATGCAATGAAAGTGGCAGTAGGCCAACAGTAGTTCCCCCAGTGACAAACTGTACGTTCAAGCCCCCAATGTCCATAGACACTATGCAATTTTTGAGAGCCTGGCTCTAACGTCTCAGCCATCAGTTCACATTGGCACTCTGTAGGGCAGGGATAGCCTCCAGGATTATGCCAATGGCTGCAGTTCTTTCAAGTTGTGTTGTCTTATATGTTATTCTCCTCTTATGTATTCAGTTCTGTCTTAATATTAAATAGATTTGTTAAGTGCTTTTACTGTGCCTGCTGGTGTGTAATTTTACTTTTACGTATAATTTTACGTATTTATGTTTTTTTACGTATAATTTTTTTTTTACGTATAATTTTACTTTATCAATGATGAGATGAAGATACAATTGCGGTTCCCATTTTGATTATGGGTACTGAGGAAACTGAGGCTTAGAGCAGGTAACTGATTTTCTGAGGTCAGAAAGTTCATTAGTAGTTGAGTACTTGAAGAAGCTGGGTATTGCTTGACTCAGGTGTTGGAGTGTAGTCAGAGCCCTGCTCTCAAGCTCTATGCGGTGCTGTTTCTTCTTGCAATGTCCAGTAGGACTATAAGCAAGTGAATTGTACTGGAGGAAGCACAGGTGTTAAGATATTTTGAATTTAGCAAATGAGTCATTGTATCCCCCTCTCTTCTTGCTCTTTAGTTATTTCTCCCCTCTAGTAAGTGGTTTCCACTTTGCATGTAAGCTATGAGCAGTGGTTTTGCAGAGGATCACCAGACTTTCCAAGCATTAATGTAAAATTTCCACCTCATATTCCCTTTCCACTTCACCCCCATTCTCAGTGGTCATAATCTCAAAGCTGAGAGAACATAGCAAGCTGCCAGCAGAAAATGTGTCTAGAGTTCTCCCCTATCTCCTCATTTGAGTAGGAAGCACAGTAAAACACGACCACTTCATTGTTCTTCAGGCTGTTGTTTGATTTTCTGTGTGACTGGTATAATTCCATCAGTATGCTCCTCAATCCTAAAACCTGTCTGTATTCTTCCCTCCTTATCTCTGTCATTCTTTCTGTATATGTCTCTCTCTGTCTCCCTCTGACACGTGCACACACGTTTTTTCCTTACTTTTTTGGTCTTTGAGTTAATGACCTGAGACACTTTCAGATGAAACTTGATGTTCCCTTATGCAAGAGTACAATCACTTCGTTGGGGTAAACTCACTGATTTGGTGCTAGAATAGTTCAGATCTAGTTTAGATAAGGAAATGAGTGATACTGAGTCAAAGGCCCTCTTTGTCAACTCTCCATGCTCTACCTGTTCTTAGCTGTTGGTGTTTCTATTGTTTCTAGCCCTCACATTGTAGTTACAGATACTCATCTGACACAGTAAGCTACTAAGTACACACTGATTTCCTTCAAAGTCTAGCCTTTGACCTTCATGGCTGTCATGGGTATAAAGTGCAATATAGTCATATTCCTGTTGCTTGGTCATGATTTAAAAACTTTAAGGAACTATCTGCAAAAAGGTGTGGGGGAAGATGCCTGACTAGTTCTGAAGGGAAGCATGTTCACATTTCATAGAATCCCTTACTGACTTTGTCAGCCAGGTCCATGACAACAACTTCTTCTACCCTGAAAGCTATAACTATTTTGGAGGGTCTTACCAGTAAGTCACCAGGAAACAAACTATTCCTATTTAAAGACTTTCCAACAAAAAAACCTCCTTGACATTCATTAAATTTACTGCCTGCCTATCATCTTCACTGCTGTTTTCCTCCCTAGGGATACAACAGTCATCAACCATTCTCCTAACACCAGCTATGACACAGCTCTAGAAGCTCGTATCCAGAAGGAGGAGGAAGAAATCTTGATGGCCAATAAGCGTTGCCTGGACATGGAGGGCAGGTAAAATGTTAATGTGGACCTGGATGGACCTAAGAAGTTGGTATAGATCAGTACAGATAGATCAGTAGTGAAGGACAAGTACCTTTATTCTCAACTGGAGAATCAGGTCATATAGCCTTCCCCCACCCCACCCCTTCATCCCTGCAAGCTTGTTACTTCAGATTTGAGATGTGATTACCTTTACCTTGATCATTCTTGCTAACTGTAGAATTCCAAGTAAGACTGCTATACTCTGCCTTTGCTAATTATTTTCTGTCTACCTGTACCAGAGCTGAATTGTTGACATTTTCACATTGGAGTATTCTTTCTGGTTCTGTACCTCAATCGTATGGCAACTCAGACTTCTTAGCAAAAGAACATCCATTCAAACTGGGAGTTAGGGCACCTGATACGTGGGATCATTTACTTATTACCTGAAGGTTCTGGTTCATTTATAGAAGACCTCCTCACCTCACCAAACACATTGTTTCCATTGACTCAGTTTCTTCACAACAGCACCTGCTATGTTGCTTCTTTCATATACAGCCTTTGTTTTTGCTAACACTTGACTTTGACCTTAAGAAAATACAAGCAGCAGTTCTTAGATATTCCTTTGTATTCACGTGGATGTGCAGAAGGATGTGTTTTGTTTTTTTTAAAACAAAACTCAAACTGTAGCACACTGACCTTTGTCTTCCCATTCAGAACTAACCAGAACAGCACTTAGTCAAAAAGGTAATAGAAGCTCAGGTCCACATAGGCAGTGAGACCAGAACCCAGAGGTAGCAACAAGGTTTTTATATGTTCTTTGTCTTGATTTCTAGGATTAAGACCCTCCATGCCCAGATTATTGAGAAAGATGCCATGATCAAAGTGCTCCAGCAGCGCTCCCGGAAGGAACCAAGTAAGACAGAGCAG